ATCTGTAACCTTGGCCTTGAAGGTCTTTTCCTAAGGATTACAAAGATAAGGGCGATTCCACCATTTGATAACCCCTATTATTTTCTGCCAAAAAGTGCAGACATCAACACTATACTTGTCAGCATCAATTTCTCCATATCATTCAATAAACTGCAAAATATTTTAGATTTCTTTTGGTTGATGATAGCTTTTGGTCCAATGGGATTAAATTTCAGGTCCCTAGCAGATTCCTTCCAAACTGCAATAGTTTCTTTTTTGTTTGTAAAGAGGTTAATTCAAAAGCTTATAAAACATACCCTGGAATACTCAGAATGTACTTGGGAATATTATTCTCTTGTATCAACATTCTCTTGTATCAACCTCTATTTCTTAAAATATAATTTTTTTACATATCAAAATATCTAAGAATAAGGAGAACTGTCTGTAAGATGTCTGTCAATACCTGGGGCTCAAGCAGGTGAAAGCATCACCCTAATGCACCAATACCTCCCATACACCACAGGACTAAATCAACACAAACTGTGTGAAGGTGTCAAGTCAGGTCAAGCACTTTGGCCTAACCACCAGCTCATTGCCTGTATCCATCCCCCCTCTGGGTCAAATGGTGAAGATATCATGACATTCCGACTGGGAAAATTTGATTTAGAAAGAAGATCCTGAGAGTACATTTACTTGGGTCAGAATATTTTAGGTTATCATATAGATTATTATAGAGACAAACGATGAGGCAGATTTTGTTATGGGAGCGATAACCCCCACAGGGGAGGCCGCAGTTGGAATAAACACCTGCCCTGGGGTGCAGTCATTAGAATTAACACCTGTCCCCGGGGCTTAGTACTCTACCCTAGGGTACATGCATGGAGACAACCTTGGGAGGACTAGTTGGTTTCTGGTAGGGGATTTGAAATCAAAGTGAAGAATGGAAGTCTAGTAGACAGTTTGCTTGTTTGAGCAGACTTTGGTATGAGCCTAAATATCCATTTGGTGATTGAATCTTACTTCAAAATTTGCAGACTTTGTAGATAGTAAGAGTAAACTTAAATGAAGACAGGGGCTAGTACAAATTGCTTTGTCATGGGCATTGTTACCAAATGCTGTCCCCTTGAATACTAATAGTTTGATACCAATACTTACAAATCCAGTGGCATCTTTTGAAATTAGATTTGTATTGTATAAATAAAATATTCAGTATAGCCCAATAGTGGCCGCAAAGCTTGTCAGTATAGACAAGTACAATGAAGTACGTACCATTGAATATAATTTGTCACCATGCACAATGACAGTTAAAGTCCAGTAGAATTTTTTAAGCAAAGATATAATGCATTCAGTCCAGCACAGTAATATAGAGTCAGAAAGATAATATCATGTGGGGATGTAAAGATGCTGACAGTCATTTTGATAAACAAAAAGTTGAAAGAAAAGCCCAAAGATAGATTTCCTATGACTTTGAAGAAGCCAGATGTCATGTACGTTCTGGTTGCTGCTCCTTTTTTGTAAGAAGTTGATTCAAACCAGGCTCATGACTCCAGGCCTTATTTTTCCCAACGAGGCCAGTGCTATTTTTTTATTAGCAGGCCAGGCACAGGGGCACTTAGTGAGCCAAATGTCTACGAACATCGCCTGAAGGCAAACCACGGGCCACATTGCTGCGATTCCACAATACTGAGCCATGAAGCAGGGGATCCAACACCAAATTGAAATGGTGTGTGAACTTGAGGAAACGACCAGAAGGGAAAGCAGCAACCAGTATCAAGTACATCCCCAAAAGCCACATATAACCAGTCCCAAATTACCTTTGAAGTGAAACCATACCCCTTCTTCCCACAGTTTACCTGTAGAATTACGAACGTCTGCAGGTGACAAATTAATGGCTGGTTTTACAGCGAGTAAAGTATGTAGTAGTGGAGAATTCTTGTTGTCCCCAAAGTTGCAGGCTGTGTGAGGAAGTGATGAGGTGATAAGAGCAGCATCCAGTGCAAGCTTGTCACCAGGCCATCAATTATGTGTGTTGGAGGCAGACTTCACAAGGGACTGGAGCAGGTTGGCAGGGCAGCGCAGGAGTTGTAAAAGTGCTGTTCTGTTTGTCGTCTACTTGTACAGACTCACCTTCTACTTGTAAATACATGTACTCACATTCTGACAGAACACCCAAGAATTTAATGCTAAATGTGGCTGCCAAAAAAAGTCTCTCCTGGTTAGCCATTGTCATCATTGGTCTGTTGCCTTCAATCCTCAGTTGTGAACAGCATGACTCAGAAAGTTATAAACTGATTTTTCATGTTTTCAATCATAAATTGATTGGGTAGGCTCTAGCACTAAATCCAGATGCTTTTCAATAAGATATTTTTACCTCCAATGGAGACACCTATCTTGGAATTATCTTAATTTTTGGAATGCTGGAAAGAATCTTAAGACCATCATATTAACACACTTTCTACTACTGTACATCTGAGCTAATGAGAAACAGAATAAAAGATAGCCTATAAATCTGGACAGATGTTTACACTTGATGCAAGCAGGACTACATGTATATGAGAAAACAGTACTGTAACAACTCTTTTCCTTAGCCTAGCCAGGAAAACAGCTGGAGAATTGGGCTCATAAACAAACTTATAACAAACAGCTTCTGGAAAAGCCATGCAGACAAGTTTACAGCCAGTAACTCCATCATCAAGATGTGAGAAGAGTTGTGGGCACATTTCACCAACTGCCAGGAGAGGTGGTGATAGGCTGTGAACCTGAATCTGGACAGAGACGACCGCTCCAGAGACGTCCTCAGCCTTGGAGAGCCCGTCAGCCTTGGAGAGCCCGCGGCACGTGTGTGCGCCTCTGGTACTTCCTGTCCCTTTGTCTTCCACCACATGTTGTGCTCCCCCCCAGTCAGACAGTCAGACGAAAACTCTGGCTTCAAAAGAATTCTTAGAACGACTCGGATCTCAAGGTGTTGCTGCTCATGCGGGGATTGCTCTGGGCTACGGACGCGTCCTCTCCTAGGACTTCTACAGGTCAGGCCTCGGAAACTTCTCATCGCCGCTACATCTGAGAAGCCGCAAAAACACCAACACTTTTCCTCTCAGCCTGCCAAAAACAAAAACTAACAAGGGACATCAAGTTATGATGGACATACTGAAGCAAGTAAAGGTCTTCTCAACCTAGGACATCTGTGTTGGAAACTGAAATGGAAGACAGTGTGCTGTGAAGTGATAATAGCGCAGAGAAAATTTGGTGATCTGAAAGCTGAGGAAATATTTCAGGAGTTAGAAGTTCTCCCCCTAGAGACGGCAGTGGGCCCTCCAGAGGTCCCAGAACAGACAACCTGTCCTGAACCACCGAGCAGCCAAATACTTGCTTTGTAAGCCGCTAATTCCGGAAAATCTACCTCCGACCCTTAGCCCAGTCCAAGGGAGGGTCATCCAGGCTGCATCACAACTTAACACATTTTCTGCACCTGTGTATGTGCCAACCACAGGAACTCAATAAGGACAGGTGTTTAGTAGTCTCACTCCTCTGCAGCAATGGTGAACATACCTGTATCTTACTCCACCTCTCTGAGATACCTAAGTTGTTTAAGGCATGGTTTAGTGAAACATTATGTGGGCATCTATTAGAAATCCTCAACTAAACCTTTCCATGCCCTGGATCTGTGGTCTGCCAAGCTCTACTCCATAGAGAAATCTGGTATTCTCCTATAGCTGTTTTCTTAAAGGTTAAGCTTCAGTTTTGCGAGTCCTGATCCTAAGCTACATGCATCAAGAGGCCTTTGTGCAGATTTTGCAACCATGCAGCTTAGAAATCAAAATGGTATACAAGACTGCTCTAAAGGACACAGCATCCAGAATCATCTTTATCATCAAAGAATCAATTCTGGAAAAAGTTGAAATTCCATGTTCTTTGTAGCCTCCTTAGGGACGAGCGGTGAGGAGCCAGACAGATCCGCTGGGTTAGGCAAGTATTCGGATCTCTCCAGAAGGTCATGTCTAATTGGGGAGACTTGGCGCCATGATCAGGTGGACATCAGGTGGTCTGAGAGAACCAGGTGGACAGACACATCAGCTGGGAGGGGGTATCATGGCACATGACAGGCCACAGTCCCTCTGTCAACCACGGGGGACACGGGAAAGGTTGCAACTTTTCAGCTTATTACCTTCAGTAGCCTTTCCACTTTTGGATATACACTTGACTATGTAAGGTCACATGATGAACTTTTCAGAGCGAAGAAAGAGGGCAGATGCCATTTGAAAGCTTCTCTAAAAGATTAACATTTAGTCGTGCTTAATGGTTTAATCCAAACCATGCTAGGAGTTTAGTTGTGTGTGAACTAGCTTTTGAACAGTACGTATGCAGTGGTTTTGTGTTGTGGAAATTTGCATGATCAACTTGCAAGTCAAATCTTGACTTAATACCAGTCAAAGTCATGAGCTCCAACATGGTGCTAGACTGTTGGTACATGCCATAATCATCAGTTTGTCATGTGTTTAAGGAGAGATTTGTATCAAGCTCACCATAAAACACATTACAATACTTTAAAAGACTTGGAATACACCATGCTGTGTAATATCTCAGGGCATTCAGTTCCCAATGCAGTTTATACTTACCACATCCAAGTACAGTTCTGTTGTGTTTTACCTTATGGCCATTTATACAAGGTTACATGGTACACAGTATTACATCCATATAAATTTTCTTAAAATTTAGACAAAACTTGCTTAGCAAGAACATTTATTCAGAAACCAAACATATTTTTTCCTTTTGTGATTATGCAATGGTACCAAAACACACCTGATACACATTGCAACCTATTTAATGTTACAGCTCTGTCGAAAGACTTTGTGACAATGTTCAACTCTCCTATAGTCAATGAAAAGATAGATGAAAATTTATATTGAGTGCAAGTATAAGTACATTGTACATACAGATACATCTAACAGGTTGTATTCTAATTCTTGCAGGTGGATACAGAGTGGTGATATAGTTCCTCCCATGATGCACCTGTTACCTACCTGGAAGGGTCCATTCTGCATGAGGAGGGCGTAGAGTGAGCTGCAGCCTGGCCCTCCTGACAGCCACAGGACCAGAGGGTCATGGACTGGGCTGGACTGGGACTCAACCAACCTGTGTGGGTAGAGAAGGACATTCTAAGTATTACCAAGTCAATTCTACAACTCTATGACTTTATGAATGGAGTGGAAGACATAAAGTTGAAGCTTAGCCTGAGATCAAAGCATCTTTATGATTATGTTATTAAAATCATCATGTTAAAATTATTCAAGTTACATCTTCTTCAATGCTCTGTTTTATTTCTCTTTTTCACATTTCACATTTCAGTACCGGGCAATCTACTTTTGGACAAGATAACCACAACAAAACAAAACATTTTCCAACTTACATCCAATTTTAAAAATGCCATCCACCAACTGTTCATATAATGTGAATTCTGTATCTAGTATGGAGGATATGTTCCTTTCATTTGTACATAATGTAAATTTCTTTTTGTACCAAATGTGTGTTATTTTTACCAAGTTATCTGTTGTATATGTGTCTTTATTCTAGTATGAACCATGGAAGTTTAGCCTTTTGTAGAGGGCATCGGAATGAAGACAATAAAGACAAAGACAATTTTGTTTCATTTTTCTTGCAACTTCTTACCCGCATTTCAATACCCTGTCAATACCTGAACCAGTTGCCTTAAATAGAAAACAGACTCCATAAGCTTTTACTGCCTCTTACTTGTTACAAGTCATATAGTTTTTCACAGCGGAAAGGCAACAAACATGTCTGGAGGAAGTTTTCATTACCCACATTGTAACAGAATTGGTTCCAGGCAGTGTGGAGTGTACAGGATGCAGTGTGAGGGTGAGAGGGAGGGGTAGCACCTGTTGTGTTGTAAAATAATACCTAACCCAACAGGGCACTGGGAGGATGAAGGGAAAGTCACTCCACCTGGAAACAATGTATAAGCTATTATAGGACCAGCTGGTGCTGCTATAGAGTTTTCACAACTTCTAATTTGTTGTGTATTGGATACATTGACTCAACACATGCATCCCTCAGATGCATGGACTTGGTTGCAATTTTACTACATGTACTTGGTTGATGCAGAGTAACTTTCTATTGTGTACATACTACACAAGACACTGCTATACATGTAGTATGGGTATATCCCTCCCAAAAACAACATTCAAATGTATTGCCATCTTCACCTGGTTCTAATTTCTGCGACTTGCCCAAAGCAGTATTTCCCTTCCCCCTTACACAATCAATTAACAGCTAATACAGGATTCATTTAATTATTGCCACAAGCCAGAGAGAAACATGCCTCATCCAGGCAGGGCGGAAACCCTGTGTACCCAGTCCCAGGGAAGGTCTATGGTTACAGACAGGGGATGAGCTCGGTCCTTTCATGTGGCAAAGGAGCCCCTCTCCTACCCTGGGGCTGGCACAGTACACTGGCACGGATCCAAAGGAACTCATTATCACCTACACATTTCAGCAAACATAAACATCTTAGAGTTGATAACCCACAGATAGGACATGTGGAGGACTGTTGATGATGTCCATGCTATTTTATTTCAATTTTCACTTCTGTCAAAATTAACTATGAATTTATTAGTGCTGAAGTGATGATGATGATGAAGTGTAAACATCATTGTCTGACCATGAACATGAGACCAAGCCATTTTCACATGTACACTATTGATGTGTACACAAGTACAACACCTTAGTTAGCATACATAGTCACCAGTAATAGTAGTATATTCTGTCATAAGCTTTCAGTGTTTAATCAAATATCCCTGAGTAGATAACAGTAGAGAAAGAAATCATGTTTTTGGTAGCAATGGCAATCATTTCTGGATGTGTACAAATGTAGTTGGGACAGGCCAATGAGGCAAGTATGCTACGGGAAGGAAAAAAGGAAAGTGAGAGAAGACAGGTACTATGTACAATGTGTACTATTTACAGGTTCATTGTAAAAGTGAAATTCCCTAGCTCTTTTCGACAAGCACAATGAACAGGGGACCACAGCTTAACATCCCATCCTAAGGACTGTGACCCTTTTTTGGTAACCAGGTTGTTGAATAAGCGACAACAACCATGATTCAAACTCGCAGCCTCTTGGTCGAGAGGCAGGGTTGCTAACCACTGGACCATCCATGCTACTAAGAAAACCCTGCTGGACATGTAGATGAAAGCTGGACATCACAAGTGTGTGGACAGCTGCTGATAATGGAACCTTGGCCTGTCATCAGTCCTGTCAGCTGTACCCTGACCTTGTCGGCATCATAAAGCTACAAGGTCAGCCATGCATTACATGACCGGACCAGATCTCATACCAAGGGGGAAGATATGTGATATCTTTGATTTGTGGCAAGAACGGAAATTCTCAGTAGCACTGCAAGACTTACAACTCTTTTGTTGGTCATTGTTGTCTAGTTCTGTTGCTGTATTTCCTTTTAAAAAGGAAAGAGTACACCTACATGTATATGAAAAGTAACAAAGAATGATATTGGTTATCTTTTGCACTTATGCATGTCCAAATACATTGAAATGACAACTACAGAGTCAGCAAAGCTTATACTTCTAGTGACAAAGAACAACATGTAAAACCATTTATTGTACATGTAGATCTACATCTTGCTACCCATTCATTCTGTTTTCCTTTCTTTGAAGTCCAATGTCAGGAAAATACTTTGTACTTGTACTTGTACTTGACTCTGTCTAACTCAAGTCAGGTTGGTAGGAAATTTCCCCATGGCTCTCTAAGCCTTTCCCTTGGGAACTGGGCGTTCTTTCCACAACTGAGCTGGTTTTAATTGTTACAGAAAGGCCTGGCAGGACATCTGAGGTGCAGAGCTATCACAGCTAATCCCAAAGCGATCTATCTTGTATGAGGTAAGGCTTCCAGTGGTCTCCTGGTGCCATTAATCTGTAGTAGGAGAGCCTTGGTCCCCTCCCTCTCAACATGTCTGGGTGTAAAGTAGTTTGGGGTAGGTGTAGGGAGGGGCACAGAGGGTGCATGACTAATATGGTGGCATCCAGTCCAGGCAGGTTTATTGGAAACGGCACTCAGGGGGTCACATCTCTATTTGTTCCATGTCAACAAGTTTCCAGAATAGGTACAGAAGTCAGCAGACAGCCAGACACTTGGATCATAGGTTGTCCTGGGAGAAAATCATATCCTGTTATAGACCTGTGTAGAAGGGCATGCCCTCCTGCCACCATGGTAAAAGATGTCCAACAATACTTTGAATTTCCCCAAAGAATCTTTTCAGCATGATTTTCTAAACTCTGTCATACAAATCCTACATATAGCATAACAACTTGAAGCTTAAAGAAAACATGTCCACTGTTTTTTTTCACTACATATTACCACATTAATTTTATGTACGTTGTATGTGACCAACTGTCCATTGTTTGAAGACTTTAACCAACCATTGCCAAAATTTAGGTCCAAGTTCATTCAGCTCAGTAGTTAGTCACTGGGAAGGGTGACAGAGGAGCACATGATCCCATTAAACAGTTAATTAAGGCAATCCTTGGGTGAAAGCAGCCAAGAAGAAATCTTCACGTTTGTGTCACAGGTGTCATGGGGCCCAGACGGCAAGATCATCTCACAAGGAGAAGGCTAAGGGAAGGCCAAGGTTACGGTATTGACACTCAGAGACTGGAAGTTTTCCTCTATAGTGCAGAGGAGAAGGGCAACATTGTTGAACACATATTCACACACATCCTGCTTCCTTTTTACAAGGTTGGTCCTGTGATTAACCCCTGAAGTATCACACTGTTTTATCCAACTGTGAGGTTTACACTTTTTAAGGCAAGCTTGACGAGCTAGGATTTTGTAGTTTACTTTCCTGTTGATTCTTTTGAATGATCCATACTCATGACTTTTTGTTTGAGAATATATTTCTATTTTTAAAAGTACCAAATTACCAATGTATGAAGTGGCAAAATTTATCCATAATCATGTGACCTATGATCAATATCATTTCACCAAATTGTAAATCTAATTAGGAAAGAAGAAGAATATAATCCTTTTCACAACTTATCACTATGCTGTACTTGTTTTTTTTATACATAACTTAACTGAAACTTTACAAGAAATATAGTCTCAAGACTCTCAATTGCAGAAGTCAGTACAAGGCTGTGGAAGGGCAGGCTAAGTTACTGGAAGAAGCATGCCAATTCATCATACCAGTGATCCCACTTTTATGTGAGTATATAAATACCTACTTATCGTGTCTTGAGGACATATCTGATACTCTGCCATACTTAAACATGGGAAAAGTTGCCTCACAAATCATGCAGTATGTCCAGCCTCTCATTAATCACTGCCTATGTGTGACTAACAGGTCTGAACCTCACAGTATGGTTCCAATTTGTAGCCCATACTTGTCACATTGGTGTCTGCCTCCTCGATAAGGGTCAGGTGTTCACTAATGTACCCCTGGGCTTTCTCAGGGATGAAAGAAGGAAAGGTTTAGCATGGGAAAGGCAGATCTGGGAGATCACCCTGATCCATATGGCACAGCATACATGTACAAACAACTGTTTGGAAACACCCCCTGTGGAATAGTGGATTGATCCAAACAGGCAGCCAAATATAGCACAGTTTGGACTGATCCACTTGAAACAAAGGGTACTATATACAATGTATACTGGTTTATAGACTAGTTGTGTCAATTATCCATATCTTATCTGGTTGCCCTGTAGGGTAGATTGGTGCAGAATTGATAAAGGTATGGTTTTTCAGTCTGAAAATAGGGCATTCTAAGTGAAAATATTGTCTGAAAATTTAGAGTTTAGGACTCTGGCCACAAGTGTCATGGTTTGGTGAACTCTGAGCAGAATCCCCTCCAAAAACTATGATAACATATGCTGAAAGTATGAGAACACAGCACCCCTGCTTAGAAAAAAAAACAAAGTACAAAATTTAACAGTTGTTTGTAATAGTATACTACTCACCAGTAGTGTAGCTTCTTGGTCCCACTGGCCTGCAGGTAGCCTGAGTAGTGTTTGAAGCTGGGTTGTTTGACCAGCCCCGGCAGGTAGGTTATCTCATCTGAAGGTGTGCCACTGTGGGCCAGGGTCATCAACAACAGGGCAGACAGGTGCCACATCTTACCTGTCCTGTACAGGAACATACAACAAATATAGTCAGTACATTTTATTCCAATATCTTTGGCATATGATTTCAATAACATTGTTAGGCTTTTGCTTTCAAAGGAAATGTATGACCACACACAACCATCTCTTGGGCAAGACTCATCCAGGGACACATGGGTCCCTGTCCTTCATTGGACTTGATTCAAGCTATGGTCTAGTGTGGTCATATACAGTCCTCAAGCAAAACTTAGCAGCATCTATTATAGATATGAGACTATGAGAGTATGACACTGTTATCAGTGGGACTCCAGAAGTGTCTATTTTTGGAACATCCCATACAAGCAATTGCAGTTTACATTTATATCAATTATTATTAGTAGACATATGCAATTTATTGGGAATTAAATCACTCAACAACCGCCTGTATTTTATCACTTACTGGTCGTGACACTGTGGTAATCACTCATATTGATTAAATTCGTTTTTAACCTTTGGACACTGAACTAGCCAATTCTTTCTTGGTTGCACCATTAGGCAGCATGGAAAAGGTCAACCAAAATGTAACAATTCTAGCCTTGCATTACCACACTAACTTTACATCTGGTTGACAGTCAATGCAAAATTTAATGCTTAAACTGTTTACACCACCAGTAGTATACAACAGGATGTGAAGAACTTTCAATATCACCAACTGGGTCTAGGTAAAGTGTTGAGTTTGTTTTTCGAAGAAGTAGTTAGGTGCTTCTTCCTACACTTCTCAGACATACTGTATATTGTATATATAACACAAATCTCATAATTTGCAATAAAACATATCCTGTTGACACAGTTGTGTGTTCTAAATTTTTCATACATTGTGGTGAGTTGTGGCCGGCTTTAGATACGTACACATAGAGCCAAAAGAAACCCCGATATTTCTACAGCACTGGGAAAACGCTAAACATCAAGGAAATAAGACTTCTGCTGTGTATGTTATACAAACAAACGTGGCCGGCTGCAAGATCAGTTGGGAAAATGCCCCCCTCCCCACCCGTCATACAACCCACCGATTTTACACAACTTCTACAACAATGCAGCCACCTGCCATGTAGACAGATCTCTTACAGGTACTACAGAGGATATAAAGGCTGTATATAATACTATCCTAGTGACTAATGAACAAAAACAATCATGGAAAACAACACTCAACCTGTCTTCTCTTCCGCAACTAAAAATCATGTGATTAAACTTTGACCCTGGAATAATCCACTTTCCCATGGGGGCGTAACGTTATATTCAATCGACCTGCGTAAAAATGTTCATTGAGCACCAAGGAGGTTAAACTTCCTTGTTGAACACTAAACAAAGGTATACAAGATTACCTCTTTTTTCATCCTGAAAACTTATGTCTATGTAATATCTGATCTTTCGTTTTAATGTTGTAGCATTGTTCATGTGCAAGTAAGTCGAGTCACGATACTATGCAGCTTGAAAACGTCTTGTAGCTGTATTGATGAAAACTTTCAATGATTATACTCATGATTAAGTCTACAGGTAACTGAAATACATAAAAGTTTTGCCATGTGAAAGTTAACTTGTATTTTTTTTTCTCTCGTTGAACCAACTGGTGCCTGTTTAATTTTCTTTTGTGTCCTTTCTTTTGCTTGAGCATGAAATAAAATTCCGATTTCAAGCACCAATACATGACAATTCATGAGTAGGCATGCAGTATGTGCTTTGCTACCTGGCAAATTTTCTTAGCCCATTCCTTTCTCTTCGCATATTGCTCTTACAAATATGTAACGTTATTCCAGGCATATTTCTTATCCTGACGCCTCTATGATTATATAATAATACAAAGAGCTGTGGCTAGGCGGGAAAGTTAAGATCGGATGAGAAATGGACAAAAAGTGATTCTACAAACAATAACGGTCTTTCTGCAATTTCTTAGAGACTCGACGTGGTCGTATTTCCGGTGGAATATAACTTCGATCAAATCAGATGCAAATCGAGTTATAGTTATTAGATTGCGCGCCGTGTGTTTATAGAAGAGTGAATCCAAATTCCACTGGAATTACGAGGACCGAATGGGAAGATTCCCCGCCTGCGAAATGACGTTACGAGTCCTGAGGAAAAACTCCCAGGGGACCACAATGGCAACAATTTATTTTGGAATGCATATCGATATCTGAGAGAAAATTACATATTACGGATGCATACGTAAAACACCCTTCATGCGTAGAATTGTATGTAACGTATATTTTTGTAATGAAAGTAAGATGATATACTAGCCGTCCAAAAAAGTAAAAGTGTCAATGCACTTTCTACACATGTCAGCACTCGATCCAATATAGATCACCGTCACAGTTCAATTTTCAAATGGACTCTGCACCAAATCCTTATCCAATTACATGGAATCAAGAGCGGCTTCACAATGAAATTTCCGGGTGAAAAATCGGGAAATTATTTGATCGCTATCAATTGATCCCACAGTCTACTATAACAAGGCTTGCTCCCCCGTCTGCAGATTGGATGGAAAGATATCCAGATGTTCGGTCTCGTCCGTCCGTCTGCCGCTAGCTGGGTTTCCTTTGGCTCTGTTCCTCATATCATGACAGCTACAGGGAGAAGGATGTACGGTTTGTACACATATGAAGTGTAACAACAACAACAACGTTCATGATAGCGATAGATTGAGGAGATAGTGTCAGACCGTAGTAGGAAGATGATAGCCAAAAAAGGCATCCCAACTTACCCCTAACCCATACAATTTAGGAGCAACCTTTGCCATTCCATCACATGACCAGCTGCTTCCTTTGGTCTGAAGAAAATAAAGAATGTGGCGCCCCCTCCCTCCCTCTTCCTGCACTTGACACCAAGGCCAAGAATATGCAAACAGCAATCTCAACAGAAATTAAATTTGTTCTACAACAGAATCTCTCAGTAACTGCCAATCTTCTAATGCCCAGAAAAGTGGACAAAAAATCGCGCGGTTTGAAGTAATTTTGTAGCGCTCTCTATACGTACGTTTTATCTAGTCAGGCACATGGCATGTAGTGTACTACCGTGAGAGTTTTCTGTACACTCTTATCCTATCTTTTAGTTGTCGACATCTGGCCGACAGCTTTGAACGCAGTTTGGCGTGGTTATATTCTTCTCGCCAACACGCAGCCAAAAGTTCAGGAAATTTACGAGCACTTTCCCTTTCCATTTCTGAGTGAATGACATTCCAATTTGATAGGAATTCGATCGTGTCTGAGAAACCGCACGTTTTCCAGGGAAGGGAATCACCGATGAATAAAAAATTGCGAGAAAAGTTTCAATGCTGTCGCCAGGAGTCTTTTGTCTCGTTAACGAGCTTTCAATGTCTATATCAAAGGAGCGAGAGAGTGTGAATCGCGCCGGGGAGTTCTAATTGTTGTAAGCCGCAGGTATCTACAGCAATTGTCACGCGCACCGGTACAGACGCCATCCCAGCTCAGAGGATTTCACAAGTGACGACACAAGAAAGTGACGAGAAATATTTCACCATTACTGACACGTTTTCGGCGCCTAAATATTAGTCTAATATTACTTCATTAATTAAGTAGTCTGAGGGCTCGTCTGCCCATTATCCCTGCTTAAGTCATTTACACCTGCCGTGAAACATGAGTCATTTGATTCAATAACACACAAGTGTGACTCATGCGTAGCACGTTTAAGCACCGTTGGGAGAGAAATGCTCAACTTGACCCAGAAGCTGAGTTTCAAAACTAAGGTAAGACTCAGTATTATTGTTAGTGCTGTAATGTACTATCTGCTTGTGTCATAGAAAATATTAGATTTTTCCAATATTGCATCTCTTGAAGTTTGCAAGTTATCCCTATAGATATAGTCCTCCTATCATTCTGAAAGTGCCTTATGCTTTTACATTTCTCGAGCCCTTGTAGATGCTATATTTGATTACTGTTTTGTTCATAATGTGAACGTGAAGTAGGTGATGGCCTTTAACAACTTTCAGTCTGGTTTTTAAAAAAATGCTACTTATGTGTTCCTTGTAAAAAAAAGTGCTACTTTATGTGACTTTGACTGTGTTGCTAGAGCATCTTACAATATTGTGTGGCGGTTCCTGCTTCCCGCACGTAACTGTCATCTTTACGATCACGTATAATGGTGGCGGCTTTAAACAGGGCAGACCGTAAGACAGATTTACGACGATAATGCAATAGCCGGTGGAGATTGTTGACGGAAGTATGCCAATCATCTCTATTGGAGCAGGGAAAGCTAGACTACCCGTCTCCAACTTGAAAAGACGCTCAGACATCCGTCCGCCTCGGCGATGCGCGCAGCATGCCATCCCCCCAATCAGAGGCCCATATTGATACAGGTAGTTGTACGTTCTGCCACAAGGACCGCTTATCAAACGGCTAACCTTGTTTAGGTGTAAAGTGTCGCGATTAGTCTGTAATGCCATTTAATTTGGGCGAATTTCGGGGGATTCTCTGGCGCTGAGATGAGCCCCAATTTCCCCGTTAATTTGACGCGCTTCCGACTTAGGCTCTCGCCGCGATTGTGAGCGTACATGAGAAAGTCCAATGTACATGTCATTTGTGGGCGATGATCCAATTTCTCTGTGAACGGGCACGAGCTGTGGGGTCCGGCTGATCTAATAAGATCGCCGATAACGCGTGGTGGAGGCGGCGTCGTAATTACTGTAGCGACAAGCGCCCATCATCGGGCTGCTTTACACATCATCGGAAGGGCCAGCAGAACGCAGACAAATCCACGGAACGACCCTCACAGCGGCACCAACTCTTCACCTCAAACTTTGAAACGTCTTAAACTTTTCTCAAGACTCCTTAAGATCAGGACGCACGCCCTCAGTCCTCAGAGGGAGGTCCGACTAATATACAACACGAAAAAGCGCCGCAGAGCTCCAGTCATAGCGCCCTGGTGGTTGCTTACGTTATAGAAACACCTCGGTCCCAGCTGATTGCGATCATAACAAAGACAGAGAAGCCGTGGAATACGCGTAATGTAAGCGGGATCAATTGTTTAAATTTGGCGGGATGGATTGCGCGGTGTGATCCCGCCGGCGCCACCCCAATCTCCCATATTACCAGATGAGGCGGACGTGGTGACATGACAATGTCCATGTTCCCTCCGTCTTCTCAAATTCGATAATCGCCGCCCGCTTTGCTGCAAATCCTCCCCACTTTCTTAACGGCACGAGGGAGGACAGTTCTCAAGGTTGAAACAGTGTAGTTTTAAGGACCTGTGATGGAAAAGTTGCTGGGTAGCGTTGACTATAGAACTTCTACCCCAAGCTGACGAACAGAATATGTCTGTCAAACCTTCCATGTCAATTCCCAGAGTGAACTAGAAGGTGTACAAAATAGCGACGTGTTTAAAATATTTGCTTTTTTCCTTATAATCCTCAACAGCAAGCAAGATTAGGCAAAACTCACACTTCGCCATTGACTCTGTTGTTTTAGCACACACCCCACAGTATTGCACAACATTGCTTCCAAACTAAAGTTGACATATATTTGTCTAGCGTATCACTTGACAAGATATTTCTAATAACAGAAAATACATCCTATTGTCAGAATCACTTGGCCTACTAACTATAGGGGAACCAGAATCTGATCTGACGCGGAGTCCACTCTATCCATCTATCAAATCTTGTCAGCGGGCCGGCCGTATTCGGGACGTCAGAAAAATGGAAAACATATTAGATTATCGGTGTCCGTGGAGACCCCATACTGTGTCCTGTCGTCCCGGTTCTTCTTTTTGCTCTTTTTTTGTGGATTAATGACGGGGCACGGAAGACTTGCCGACAATCACCGGGATCAGTCGCCGCGGCCACGGCAGCCCGCCCCGTTTGGTCTACAGGGCGCCGTGAAAATGAAGCGATAACGGGCTTGTTGGTATGTATCAGCCGCTACCATCGCCGGGTTAAATCAGCACAAAGTGTGCAATCACTAAAAATTTACACACTTTAATTCCCGACTAATTGCCGAGTCATCGAACACAAATCAGTGATTCCCATTCGTCCCGTGTCTCCATCGTCACTCCCTGCGTATTCCACCCTACTATCTTAATTGCACGTCCCCCTCTTTGTTTCCAAACTGATGTGCATAACATGAACTGTGTCTGTTTACAACAACACACTGACGTGTTTCTCTATTTGATATCACCCCCATTCATTGTAAACTACGTGTAATTCTTTTCCATTTTGACTCTAATCATGCGGTTGAATTATGAGCAATGCGAGACTTGACTGAAATAGCACAATTATACGCATGACTTGCTGGATAATGTTCTTTGATTTCCCATCTTGGCCATTTTGTGCCGTGTGCTAACCAGTCGGATCCCTACTTGTGAAAGGACGCTGTCAGATTCCCATGGTATCTCCCCAGGCAGCCGCCTAATGTAAACATAGGCACGCGCCCAGCCCGAGGCCTAACGTAAACCTCCGTTGTCGTAATGCCCCTGAGGTCTCCCCACAGAACAGGAGAACGGTACTGCCGTATTTCTGTCTCCAGAGGGGGCTTCTGGTCGCTGACTTACTCCAGAGCAGGAGCCGATACTGTGTCAAACGGTGCTTGGTCTCACTATGTACTGGCTCATTCCACTTTGACTGAAGAGTGGTTTCCGATACTACAGTTATGCCCCATATCATATCCAGTGACTGAACAAAAGTTATACGTATATACTTCAGGCTTGAAAACTATCTAAAATCGCAAATCTTGGCTTAACAGTTTCCAGCTCATGTAATACTTTAATACATACTCAGACCACTGAAAAACCCTTCCCTTCTCGATGCCTCTGTTCCTGTCCCCCTCCCCCCAAATCTCATCTATCATTGTCTGTAAGCCTCCTCTGGCTGGATGTTAGTTCCTTGGCGCGCTTGACGTCACGGTCGTCAGTGGGCGCCTTTCCTCCGAGTCCTCGCCGAAAGTCCTGTCGAGAGACCGGCGTAAACTCCGACCGTAGGAGGGGGAGATACGGGATCAGGGGCGGAGCAACGACAGCTTTGGTCGGTCTCTCGCACGCTCGACACGTCGTTGCTAATCGCTTAATTTGTTTACTTTGACTGCCTGGGTTTATTTGCGTAGCGACTGTTGTGTAAACCGTGAAGGTAATAAACGCCGGTTGGCTGCCGGGTGGGTGGGTACAGGACAGGAAGGCGTGGTGACATGTGGTGGGCCGTGTCGTCAATGGTAAAATAATTTTCATACAGCCAGCTTTAAAACGGTATAGTGAGTAATGGCATTTTTGCTAAACAGAGAATGAAGGATAAAGTAAGCGACGTGACTGAGCGAATGAGAGAAAAAGAGGGAGTAAAAAAATACAGTGCACGCCCTGCCATAAACGTATGGTACGTTCCACGTCTGTTATGGTATTTTTCGTTAATTGAATGTGGAAACTTCAGCATCCATGTGTTTTATGTAACTCCAGGATTTCTCTTCATAATAAACAATAAATATGTACATTCATTGAAGACCGGCAAAAATAGACAAATCTTGGTGAAAATGGTATGTAAAAAAGAGTACCTAAAGAAAAAAAGTTCTCAGTGAAGGTAAAAGTCTACATGGTATGTGAAGCGGACTTTTGGCAACATGATATACATATCTAATAAGATAAATGAAAATGCACTTGCAATTGAAGTTACACATACGGGAACATATCTACATTTCTAATCTCCAATGATTTACTTCTGCCCAATGCTGACGACATGACGAGTGCAAAAATGCTTGTTTGCTTTTAGATTATTACTTTTGCGGTATCAAATATCAGCTACAAATGGAGCTTTTTACCAAATTTGATTCGAAAGGGGTTTAGACCTCCATGCTGGTGGGGCGTATCAGCCTACCGCCCGTTCATTAAGGTATTACTGGATACAACATGTAGAGGTAAATCTAATTAGACGTGCATTGTTGGCCGTCAGCGTCACCACAGGGTGGTCTCGGGGGTGGGTCTGGCGGAGTCAGGCAGGGCGCGGCAGAGACAGCACAAGTACCGTGCCGCGGACACAGACATGCCGGGGTCAGACCACACCACGCCGCGGCGCGCACCAGCACACGGCCCGGCTCACCGCCTCGTACTTCTGAGCCGCCGCTCTTCCACTAGCTTTTTTTTCACCGGGAAACAGAAACGTTTCTGTTTTTAATTGAATTCCGGTGGCCAGTGTAAAACTCTTGAAATTTCAAATATTTATTAATAAGAGACGAACTGAAATACTATTTAAAATCTATATGAAATTGTTCTCGGTGCGTTTCTTAAACTATAATTACTAGCAGCATCACTCAAATTAAATCTCTGTAAAATGCCGTCATTGTGTTAACTGGTATGGAAACATTCAAGCTTGGCGAACAACCCAACTCTTGACAAGTAGTTGTATACCTACTTGTGTCTTTCAAGTGCTTGTTCCGTTTAAAAACGCCGCAAACGCCTCGTTGATTAAGTAGAACACTACCCAAATAAATATAACGTCTTCGACCGCTCGCCATAATGTATGCGCGAGGTTTCGACACTTCTTTCTTATTAGATTCGTCTGAAAAATACATATAAACATCCCCAGTCAACGTGCTGAGCGGAACTCCGAGGCGCGGAAGCGGACTGGCGCATTTGACGCAATCGTTGAACGGGCGTGACGTTTTACACGCTCATTGGTCAGCGTTGCACTTGTTGATAGCGATTACCCGACGCCCATCAAATTAATTGTGATCCAATTACAGCACCTCTGTGGAGTGAGACCCCTGTGTGCAACAAAACCCAGCCCGTGGCCTGTCTCGTCCTCACTGCTGCCCGTGACTGGAGTAAAAGCCTGACTGACCCTAAACATACCAACTCAAACCTCCATCCACCGCACACCAGATAGACCTCGTCTTCCCGGACTGTACACGATTTTCCCGTCGAGGTCTCACCCGTCTCTCGGTATGGAGTGCAATGCCTCGCCGAAGCCGCAACTGTCTTCACGCGCCAATGCGTTCTCGATCGCGGCGATCATGTCTTCTTCCTGCTCTACAAAGAAGGACAGTCCAGAGGAACAAGCCATCAAGCCGCTGGGTAGGTTACTACAGTATTTCCCGTTCCCCCGTCTGTGTTTCTGTGTCCGGGCGCAGTCTGGTCCAAGTCCCGGCGAACTCTCACCTATGTGTATCAGCAGCAGACGACAGCTTACGCGATCATAACGGACCTGCTGCAATAGGTAGTGATAGATGCTTTCATGGGTCGTATGTATGAACGTATATGATTGACATGTCGTTGTTCTTACCACGTTCTAAGTCTGATGTTATAGACCAGTTGGGTTGGTAGAATTCTTACGCCACACCGTATCATATCAGGGGCATTAGTAAATGGTGATTTTTTTGTCCATTCATACTATCAAATGTTTTGACAAGTTTACAATCTATGAGCTAGCTCTGTGGACAATCTGTATAAGCTATGGGTCAGTTAGGTCCAGTCCTTGGGCGGAGACTACCCCGCCTCCGGCTGATTCAGCGTGGACATACGTATATTTTACTCTGCATGCCCTCTGGCCTGGTTCAGGATAGAATGTCCAAAATCACAAACCCATGGCCGTGACTCAAGGCCATGTGCAAGAGTACAGAAATTTTGAAGAAATCGTGCAATGATGCATCTTCTTTCTTGTTTGTCTCGACGTTACAGAGAACTTTGTAGAGAAGTCTGGATGTACACAGCCCCTGTGTGGGGAGGCTTCCTCCACCGAGACCGCAGCAGACGGCGGGCGGACAGGAAGGGAGAGTAGCGCCGGCGAGTCTCGGCAAGAGTCTGCCAGCTCAGAACCAGCGCCTTCCGACGGCTCCCACCTCCAGAACAAGGAAGGCAGCCCCGAGCTGAAAAACGTCCAATGCAAGCTAGAGTCCAAAGAACTGTGGGACAAATTCCACGAACTGGGCACGGAGATGATCATCACTAAGTCTGGAAGGTAAGCAGGGCTCCGGCCGGGTGTAGTCGTGGCTACGTACCGTCAGACATAGCGGGGAGAGCCCGGCTGATCGTTACGGGAAGGTTCAACATGAAGTGATACAGGCGTCTTTGTTGACAGTAGGCACGCATGGTTGCCTCTAAGCGTGTGCGAAGGGAGAAACCCCAGAATGTCCACGTAGGTCAGACATCACATCTAATAGAACACACAGCATGTCCAGTATGTTAATCACCTTAACGTAATTCTGTATGGCTTAAATCTGTGACAAAACGTGCAAAATGTCCATGATACTTGCCAGTGCCCTCTCTCATCCAGATCCTTATAACTCGCCATAAAACATACAAGGCAAATTTCAGTTGCCCCGCTCAGTCAGACAGTATAATGAAGAAATATTTTCTTTAAATCCCTGTCAATTTCCCTGTAACGCACATAAAACAAAATATGACTTTTATGGTGCTACTGAGGTGCTACTTCATCCCGGAGAAAAGTTAATCAGGCAGAGAAAATTTGCCCTACAAAGAGACGGAATGGGCGGGCATGTTGAACCAATGGTCTTGCTCACTAACTGTTCTAGCATCGCAGCGTCTAGCCACCTCTCGCCGGTGTAACTCCGTCTTCTGCCGCCGCAGATCGTAACAAATCTCCCCTGTAATGAAGGGAGACATTTTTACGTTCAGGAGGCAAGTCTTTTGGGACCCTTCGCTCCGCCATATTTCACACAGGATTGTGGGGGGATTTCCATGCCGGCAAGCCCGTCATATAATTTCATTTTCTAATGCAAAGCCAGTTAATGTTTGTACAAAAGAAGGCGATTATCATACCTCTCGTTTATAAAATGAAAAATGTCACAGTATCCGTGTACAAAGACGGCCGAACCTGTCGGACAGAAATTAAGCTAGACGGCGCCAGCTAGGGTCTAGCCTAAAAGCATTCTCTGTGGGCTAGTGGTTAACGTGTTTCTAAACTGTTCGCAAAATGGTCTTTTTTACGTAAAACGGTGTCAATGTTTCCACTTTAAATGCTGCATAACACACATACATATCAACGCTCTCGTCAAGCAGTGAAGTTAGGGGCATAAATACATATACATATATACAGTTTAGCCCTTCATAATCATGAAACAGATGGCAGCTGTCACAAAGGTGGGGACAAAAAACTGGCATTACGGCGAAAATCAGCACTCGGTCTGAGGTTGATGGACAAGACTAGAGACTTTGATCCCCGGAACCCGCAAGGGAATCCGTCCCCGCATGTCCCAGATTTGTGCTAATAGAAACGACGCGTTTGTCGGGCTGTAGTGCACCCATCCACTTGTTTTTCTCCTCCTGTATTTTGTTTATTTATTTGTCTTTGGCCAGATCAACAATTTCTTAAGTTTCATCCCCGTTAATTCTACCTGTACACCTCGGTAAGTACCGTATCCCTGCGCCGGTCGGGTCTAATCTGCTCTTAACAATTTACGACCGACCCGTGCTGTATGATTTATTCCTCTCTCTGCGGAGGGACGCGGGGGTCTGATTCGGTTCTACGACGCTCTTGGTCGGTTCTGACAGAATTGGGCTATAGCATATCATATCGTAGTCCCATTGTATCGTTGCTGTTATATAGTGACTTCTACTTTTTTTGACGTTGCCGATTTAGTCGAGTCCCGTCAAAGTTAGGTTAGGTACGGCACCTCGCGCCATTGCGTTTTGGGCAGGCTAGTTTCTTTCTGACTACCTTTTGGTCAAGAGTGGCATAAGAGAGACCGTACTATTACTTTACGTAGCATTGATGTCAGTTTGCCCACAAATGGGAAAAGACACAACCAATTGTTAGAAAGTGATTCGTAATGTTGTAGTGAACGGTCTCCTCGCGATCTAGCTTCAACCAAAGAAAGGACTTGCTTGTATGATGTTACATTGTAACATGTGTAACATTTGATTGTATAATGTTAACTCCGATATCGTTTCGACGAGAAAGACTAAATTACAAATTGTGAAGAAATTTCTATTTTGAGACGAATTTTGAGGGAAGTTAAGAGGGGTATACTACTAGCTCCCGAATACTGACCAGAAGAGTGTCTTCTATGCTTTAGGGGTTAGACTGGCGCACGAGTAAAGCCGGGGTATTACCGCGGTATGGTCACCTCCTCTGGGACTTGTCCGGCCTCTATAAGTAGCCTCTGGCGGGTCGTAGTTTTATCGAACTTAGAATGGACTGGCAGTTAGGCAAAGAGAGTTTAGGTATGTGTCTCTTCAGCCATGATCTATCTATGCTTGCAAGAAAAAAAAATGATCACAGGTTTAAGATTTCAGTAAGAGTAGATATATGGTGAAGTTGTGCATGGTGGGACGGCCGATACTCTTTGAATTGCAGCTAAACTGTCATTTATGATTACATGTATAGATTCCACCTTTACTAAGTATTGTACGATAGCCTGTATATCATGATATTACTAGTAGCTTGTGGTATAAACGTCTAGTGTTTGATAGCTTCTATTGTGGTATTTTAGCAGTGGTCATTGTCGACTTCTCGGCCGAACAGCTTCCTTGTAGATACTACAGATGATAATAGCACACCTTAAGTACAATTCTTACTGTCAATTTTTCTATTATCAGAGGTGACACATTGTTGCAGTCTTTGTTATTGTATCAGTAGATATGTAGTGGGTATGTGTTTGTTAAAAGAAAGGTTCTCTGCGTATGTGTTAACCCGAGAGATGAGTAGGCCCCACAACGTAACATGAGCTGTGGGTACTGTTATTAGTTTTGCGAAAAGAAACTATACTACGTGTCCATGGCCGTGTATTAAAACAGAGAACGTGATTGTAGCCACAAGGCAAGCAAACGGCTTGTCATACAGGTCAACGTGGCTTCCCCTGCTATTTGTACCTTGTGCAAAAACCACCAGCCCTAGTTAACGCCATGTATACATACCTACAGCAGTAGCTATAGCAATCGGTATTTGTGGAAACTAAGTTAGAAATTTCATTTCCTCTTTATTACCGAAACGGTTTACCGTAATCGCCAAAAACAACGCTCATTCGATTTCGCCCGTAACACAGGTCATTAGGTGTATGTCCGCTACCGGGTAGCGTTGATTTTATGAACTGAAAGTCATTTCCCTGTGGTATTTTGTTCTTGATGTTGCTCATGTACAGAAAGTCTCGTATATTCTTATTCCGTTATACATATTTAGTTGGAGACACATTTTACGGATACTACAATTGTCCGGAAATGGCAAGAAAATGTCTTTGTGACCATTCGTATGCTGAGGTCACTGTGTTTATTGTAGACACTTGCAGTTTTGCCTGTTTTATCTGTCATCAAAAAGGACTTCATCGTACAATCTACATATCATGCCTAAAGGTTGAGCCATTTTACCGGTAAGAAATCTAGAGGCTGTGAAATATAAAACATCAACCTTTGTAGTGATCTACCTTCATGGGAAACCAAGGCACCATGATACTCTTGTTTTCCACGGAATGACACGTTTTGCCCGACCGCCTGGGCCGGTTAACTTGCCCCGGTGTGGACCCAGGAAGGGTGAAACATGACACAAACAACACAGTCATAGTATATAAAAGCAGCTCTTTTTATCTTTAACACACATGTCTATTCAATGTAAAGCAAAGGTGTCATTTAGGTATACAAAATGCAGTTATGAAGATGTTATATGAGTCAGCGCCATCTTACAACCGGTGACATAGATGGAAAGCAACATATAGATATTTGGGCCATCAACTGTATCACCAGCATAGATCAGTATACAGCAACACTACGCGTAGCTTTATATCTGAAGGTATACTGAGGGGAAAACACCACAGCTCTTATGAAATATCTGCTGTTATTCAACGAGAGGAGGTGAAGAAATTGAATATTGTGGTCACAGATCGCTAGCGTACGTACACGTAACAACAAGGACGAAAAATGCTTTTCTATCCGTCTATCAAAAAACAATGACGGCCACCGGAAAAATCAATATTTCTACGAAATGTTAACCTGAAAACGACGATTGTTTGGTATGGACGTGTAATGTAGTAATTGTTTTATTTATCACGCACACGTTGAATAGGTGTGCTTCGCCGCTCGCAGGCAAATTCTTCCCGCTTGCGCAGGAAATGGCGCTCGGCTGAAAGCCAACGCGTCCTTCCACAATAATCTCACCGTATGTGCATCCAAAGGTCAAATGAAGCGTGGAATATGGAATATATATTTTTGTAATGGTACTGACGTATGGTTTCGTGTGAATGAAGAAAGTAGAACTTTGTAATTCGTGTGATTTAGAATTAGAGTCCAAGTTAAAGTCTATGTGGGAATAAAATAAATATCTACAGTGCAAAAAATAATCCATACTAGTAACAGTACAATTTCTTTATTCATGTTTGTTGCTGTAGGATGCTTAACGCATTTATTCCTTCGTTTTGTTAGTCATCTTTTTTCACTTAAAATCTGATGGTTGATTTTCCAGATCCTAGTATTTTTCTTAGTGCATTTTGATACAGCTACATTGCGTGCATGTCATATGTATCACTGCCAACAAAGCAGCTTGTATATCGTTATATAAAACCTGAAAAATAACAAGTACAATATGACATTCGGTGCGGTGTACATCTGAGTATAAATACCCAGATTCCGTCCTGTTTTTCTCCGTATCCACGGCAAAATCTGGCCGCCTTGTCGGTCGATATTCCAGCAAAATGTGCTGACATTTAAGAGCCTTACAAATACGGACAACCCAAAATGTCTTATACCTCACTCACTGCTTCCTATTGACTCATAACATTTAAGTAGAAGGTAATTTAGGGATCATTTGAACGGCAGATCCAGATGAAATGACAGTGAATGCAGCAAATCCCACAGAGGAACCCCTAGCGAAAGGTCACCTAAGAATACTAGATGCTTTCTTCAGGCAATCACTGCCTTATATAAATGTTTCTTCTTACGTTGGCTGAAAAATGAACGGACGGAACCAAAACTACAACCTTTTTGTTGCCTCAGTAACTTCTGAGAAACACATATTAGTGACGTGAGGTGTTAAAGGCCAGGGCCAAGTTCTGGTCACGGCAGAATGCACATGACTTCAGAATGGATACTGAAGAAACTTGATCATCAAACACACAGACGTACAGATGGCCAAGTAAAATTCATTTTAGACTTGTCCACACTATCATGGAAAGAACACTTTCAAATATAACTTAAAAGACGAAACGTGATATGACTTGGCAGTTCTTACGTGGAGGATAGGCAAATTCATTGAAACTGTATGAAGGAAAGTACCACCTTGTTTATAGTGTTTTAATAAAAATTACGAATGCTGTTCTGTTCTGATTATTGTATTTCACTATTTAGCTTGTTTTCTAAGGGTCATTTTGATGCTTTTGTCTGGACATACCAACGGTCAGGGAAGAAGACTTAGAGACAGTCAGGTGTCACCAGGTGTTTAGGTCTATATGTTACAGGTGTATGTGTACGCTTGTATGTGAGAAATAACCGTCAGCATGTTGTTGATGTTGTTGTTTATCTGTAAACAGGCGGATGTTCCCGACCATCAGGGTGTCGTTCTCCGGGGTGGACCCTGACGCCAAGTACATCGTGCTGATGGACATCATCCCCGTGGACAACAAGCGGTACCGGTACGCGTACCACCGGTCGTCCTGGCTGGTGGCGGGGAAGGCCGACCCGCCGCAGCCCGCCCGGCTCTACGTCCACCCCGACTCGCCCTTCACCGGCGAGCAGCTCCAGAAACAGATCGTCTCCTTCGAGAAGCTCAAACTGACCAACAACGAGCTGGACCAGCACGGCCATGTGAGTACCGAGCGTCATATTGCTCAAGTTTTGGGTAAAAATGCCATGGGACGCATGTTTGAATTGAGGACAGGCTTTTCTGCCTTTCCTGATGTCGCAGGAGGATGAAATTTTCAGGACACACAGAACCTACTACGTACTACAAGAAAACCAACAAGTACATATAAGTGTCAAATTCCAGCCTTCCAAAAATGGTATTTCTAACCAAATATGTGTACTGGCTACTAGGAGTGCTCCCAAATTTGTCACGAATTGTTAGGTGAATTTTCGGCGCGATCGATACAAGATACAGTCCCTGCAGTACTGATCACCATCCGCACAGGGTCATGACATTTACCTTTCCTCACTACAAATCTAGCTCTCTGTTTCCATGAGAACAGAGGTTCAGACAAGATAGGAAGATTATCTTACGATCATACCGTGGCGTGCATTATTACCCCTCCAGGAATTAAGCTTGTATTCTTATTGAATATTTACAATGTAGTAGGTTGGTGTGGATGATTAGCTCTTATATATCACCTGTATGACCTTTGTGTATGATGAATTTTTGTGCTGGCGCATTTTTGACGGAAATTACAATAAAGAGTGATTTATGAAAAAGAGATGGGAAAGAATGTGGGGAAACGACATTGACATTGAATTAATAAAATTTGGGATGAGATCGTGCGCAATTTCCAACACAATTAAAAGGTGTTCGCAATTTATTTCATAAGCATAACAAAATTGATAATGGTCTCTTTGCAATTGCAATATTTGCTATATACAACGGTTGCAGATAAAATTCTAAGCTTCTATGTATATGATATGTTTCTTGCGGGTTATCCATTTTATTCTTCAATTTGACAGCTAAACAGTCACTCAAATTTACATTTTCTTGAATACAAATGTTCCCAAAGTTTCTCTCCGGTTTTGGCGTGAAAACAAATTCAAAGTACTTTTTATCTATTGATTAAAAGCTGTGCGTTATTTCATCGTTATTGGTTATCATTTTTCATTATTAGTTTTCGTACTGAAAACAGTAATCAAGAGATGCCCAGAATATAGCGCCTTGAGCCTTGCACAGACTCGCGCTATCACATTAGTATTGGCTTCTTGTATTGACTTATTTCCTCAATAGTTAAGACATACTACTGTATTCGAAATAAGAGAATAGTCACAAAATCTATTATAGTGGTGATTGCATTAAGCTTTTGCTAAGTGGTAACAAATTTTCGCGGTTTCAAAAGTTGTATTTTTATTTCACATGAGAAATATCATATAGAAGAATGAATGCTGCGTACTGAAAATAATGCTACCCGTAGTATTATCGCATAGTTTTTGGCACATATCCTTTTTGGTAGTATAGAGGTATTGGAAATTGTATTGCTTATTATTTGAAAATTTCTTACTTTCGGACTTTTTTTAGCAATACAATATCTCAGAAAACCCCTCACGACCGAACTTATACTCCAGAACTGTTAATAAAACGTTAAGCGTTTTCTATATTCCATACTCGTGTTACTCATATTGAATAAAACAGTTCATTTACACATTCCTAAAAACTGTCTGACTTTTGTTCTTTTTTCCCCGAACAGATTATTCTGAACTCGATGCACCGTTACCAGCCGCGCGTGCACATTATCAAGAAGAAGGAACACACCGCTTCGCTTCTCAACCTCAACTCTGAGGAGTTTAAGACGTTTGTCTTCCAAGAGTGCATGTTCACGGCCGTCACCGCCTACCAAAACCAACTGGTGAGTTTACGATATACCTGTCCTTTTACTTTCTTTTTACTTGTTCTATATTTTTGCTTCCGTGCCGTTTTCAACATATTTTACGTATTATGTGTTCCTAGTTCTCTGCTGAGTAAAGTTACTTACGCATTAGGAGAAATGAGATGAAAAATTACAACATTCTTCGTAGCTGTTTTCATAACATATCCGCCTGTTTCGACACATTTGTACAATTATTAATTTTCCGAATACATCGGAAACCCGTCTTTTATGGTATACGTACATGAAATTGCAGATTTTGCAGCAGAAAAGAACTGTAGTATTGTTGGAAATCGCTATTTTTACGAACATTCGGCGGAAGCTTTTACAAACGAAACATTCACAGAAGAGAACTCTAGAAGAAAACACAATTAGTATAATGTTTCTTCGGTGCATTTCTTATCATATGCGTGTCTTGTATTGCTGTTTTCGTACTTGTAAAATGCTTGAGATACTTTATACCATAAGAAACCTTCATGCTGCATACATAACACTAGTGCTCTAAACATTTTGTACCACCCAACACGACTATACGTTACATATCTAGAGTTACCACCGTTTGTTGCTCATTCATCAAATTGACCAATTTGAAAATCGATGATAAAAAGATTGACCGTCTCACGTTGGGGGTTGAAAGTGTGGTGGGCCGCGGAGTGGCGCGCACTGATTTTTATCGCAAAGTCGCCGGGTTTTAGATAATTTTCTTCTGCAAAAATGTAGCTACAACTACTTTTAGTATTCCTTTTCTACTTATTCTTATTCTTCCTGAGAAATAGAACACACAACTTAACTCAACTTAACTCGGAAATGAAAACAAAAAAATTGAATATATGGCGTTTCATTTCCCAGCAAATACAGTTGCCATCAATAAGCAGTAGTAAGATTTTCTTTTCCACAATTATTGAAATATTGCCCGAAAATGACACCATGTAAGCACATAATTACTTCAATGTTACAGTACAGGCAAGTGTAGAAAATGGTTCAATCGCAGTTTTCTTGGCAAGCGGTCCGTCCGCGGCCTTCAGAACTCCGGTGACTTATGTCGCGGACCGGCGCTGCTCATTGATTCGATTACCCACCGTTTATGAATTATGGACGTCTCTGGTCCTAAAGAGGCCATCATTTTCCCGTTATTACCACCAGCGTTACACTGTATAAATCATGAGGCTACCGGGCCGCTAGGAGGTAGGCACCGGGAGAAAAGACGTCCCTGCAGTGGCCTGCGGCGCTCGTGCAAGGCGAAACTGTCTCAAATCACTGTGCTGTTGGATACCGATATTTCTCGTGTATTTGTGTATTTGTTAACTTTTTTTGTGTGTTTTCAAAATTTTGTTGTTTTTGTCTGCTAATGTAATAAAATACAATATTTTTTTTACATTAGTTGAGTAAGAATGAAAGTAGCGCATGTGGTGCTAAAGCTCCATTCGAGAAAACAACTTGTAGAAGAACAATCGCTTTGTGCTGATATGTTTACAGAGGAACAGGATAGGTTTGGGTGTAATATCAGGTGCGCACGAGGCGAGGAGAATATCCATTTTGCACAAACAGCCAGCTTTTCCCTGATTAACCCCCTTCTCACGTTACCAACAGACGTTTTTCTCGGAATATTTTACCTTTGCATGCCCCAATTCAATTTCGAGGCACGTCCTACACTCATGTCTCATTTCTTTTACCTTTTAGCTTGAATTTTTGGATTTTTTTCTCTGCATTTTAATCGGGCTCTATTCTTTAGTTTTGATACCCACGGCTCTCAAAGTTTTCTCAACAGTGCAAAATTGTAAGAAGATTCTCTAGGGTTTCCTCATGTAGCAAAGGAAACGACATTTAACGCAAATAAACTGGAAATTTGTATATTACCTGACTAAATGATTTCTTACCTTCTTCTTTGTTAAATTTCTAGTTTAAACTCTTAATCACGCGGACAATAAGACTGTCGCGAGGTTAGCCAACAATGGACAACAGACGGCCGACATGTGTTGAAAATTAAGCTAAACTGAGCATTAAACTAAATCAATGGAAAATCAGAACGAATTTTTTATGTATGATGGCAAATATCTTGCTACCTTCAGCTCAAACATTGAAATAGGAAAGTAAACATTTTCTATTCAGCATCATTCCAAGTACGGACGGACGACGGTTCAAGTTGTCTATGGGGCAATGCTTTGCGCTGAATAGTTATCGGCTTTTGCCCCGATCAAGATGTTTCTTACATGTCATTATCTAATCTTTTACGATGATTTTTACTACCTTTTGTGACGATGTGTAACTCTTCCTTCCAGATCACGAAGTTAAAGATCGACAGTAACCCGTTCGCCAAGGGATTCCGGGACTCGTCCCGTCTCACAGATATAGAAAGGTTCGTTATCTATCGTTTTGTGATAGAATCTTATTAACAATATCTACCTGTTAAAACTGTTTAAATGCTGTTATGGTCGATTTTAGTAACGTTTGGTTGGTCTTCGTTTTGCAGTCATAGCTTCGCCTCTGGCATTCAAAACCTACAACTGCTACCATTACAGTGTATATACAAAGGGTATACATTTAGGTATTTGATAGTATGTAGCTAGAAACATAAAAGTATTTAGAAAATAGAAATATACAGATTTTTTCCGTACTTTTTTTCATATTGTACTTTTGAAGTACGATACGTTGCCTTTAAGAGTGACAAAAGAATTAGGAATCGTCCGAGGATCCATATAGCTGTCAGCATCCGTCCCTGATAATTGCGGACATTCTCCTGGTTCTCGTGTTTTGTTTATTTCTGAGCTGTCCGCCCATCGCTCCTCGCGCCCCATAAATCCACGGACATTCCCGATGTGGTCCGTACCTAACGAACTGTTAATGTCCCGCCCGTGAGTGACGGACGCCGAGTGCTGATAGTGGGGAATGCCGCTGCTATGTGTGCAGCTCAGCGCATTACACTTCTGAGGCCCACTGCTCGTGTAATGTGCGCGCTATCTCAACTAGAATCTGGGGGAAATTGCTGATGATGTTCAGATGGGAGGAACATAAGTGAGGTGTGTTCGGAACATAATGGGAAAAGCAGAACACTCGAGTTTTTCTTAGGTGCTTTTATGTGAACACTTCTCTCTGAGAATTGGAACGGACAGAAGCGCCCTGTCTGTCATTGTAGCTGACGTTTTCTGGTGCCGAAGTCGTTCCCTTTACTTTAAGCCCCGTTTTCATTCCGAATGTTGTTTTGATACAAATAAGAGTTGGTAGGCTTCCACGGGCGAGTGGCGCGCGGGTCAAGTGAAGCAGATGTCGGGAAAATGGAGCATGAAGTCTTCCCCCTCACTTCTGGCGCAATCTGCGTTCTGACGTTGATTTACGTCCCTTATCGGTCATGTTGAGCTGGAAATGCCCCATTTACGTTCCTGTGCTATCGCCGAGATAAAGTTGTTTCCTTGGCTTGTCATTCTGAAGCGGTAGGCCGTGGTTTGAGATGTCGGCCTCCCACCCGGGTACTGTACCTCACACGTGCGTGGTTCCGTTCTTACTCCGCCATGACACCCCTGTATTTCACCACTTACACCAAACAATTTAGAACGAGCGTTAGTGACGTTTTCCACAGCTCCTGACCCCGCCGTTCAACACCGCCCAACTGTGGACATATTTTCCTCATGTGACGAAAGTTCTCTTGTCAGCCCCGTTTGCACCGCAACAGACATCGCGGCTTCTCACCATAAGCAGGCTACTTTTAGACTCTTCTTCAAGCCGTTTAAGTCCCATCCTTAACAAAGAGACACCACAAAACAGCAATGACAGCTTTTTAACTGTAATTTCACCATCTAAAGGCCAAAAGGTCTAAGAAATGGAATGATAATGTTTTAACTGTTTCCATTTGGTTCAAAACTGGCCCTTATGTCCCATTCTGTTTCTCGTTTGCGTCTAGATGTTTGTTTTCGTTTAACAAGTGCGTTTGCTTTAACATCGAACAGAGGAAACTGGATGGCATTAAACTATGTTCTTTAGATATTGGGCTACATACATGTATGAAATGAGAAAAAAGCCTAATAGCCCATAAGCACAACCAGTGCGCATTTTCCTCTGTTGAAATGGAGCCCAAGACAAAGGAACTTTCTTAAGACGGGTATCTAGGGTATTTGGAGGAGACTTAACGACCCCGGGTTGTCTGGGCATGGAATCCTCTGCCGTGTTTGCAAACAATGCCGACATCTTGACCGTCTCTGCCACCGTTGGTATTCATTCATTGTGGTCAAAACAGCCTCACTTTCCACTATCCAGTGTTCTGTTGAAAAATCACCATATGGTTCATTTCGCCTGCAATGGTGTTGTTGTACGTTTCGGTTTGCGTACTTATATATTCTTTAATTTCTAGCTGACGTTCTTTCACCATGCGTTCTTTCACGTTTTGCTCCAATTTTCCCATGCATGTCAACATGTCCGGCTATATATAGTGAAATGTTTTGCTGAAGTTTTAACGGTTGTAGGGGAAACGTTTCTCTCACTTCCATCCAGTCAACCAGAACCAAAAATCCGGGCGGCAGGCATCTCACCCCACATTTCTCACAACACAGAAGTTTTCATTTCTTTCTGACCCTTAACATTCCTCACTCCTCCTCAAATGTTGGTGTCTGGAGAGTTTTAGTCAGCACGGTGCAGGTGTAATCAGAAAATCTGGAGCGCCGCTCGGAGAGTTTCTCTCTCCCTCTCTCTCCCACCGCGTCGAGAGAGTTTTCGGTTGGGTCGAGATTAAACAACACAATCTCCACACAACTGATATCGCAGCAGCAGGAATGTAAACACGACCGGGAGCCGATGAAATCGGACAGGCTTGGGAAGTGTTACATTATACCAACCACCATGTATCGAACTACCTTGCCAATTATGTCACCATGTTGGTGCGCTAACAGACAGAAAAGGCATGGCGCCTGGGCGGACTGTACCGAGCAAGCCGGGGCGGAAAAAAACGGGCCGCCACGCACAAGATAAAGTTACCGTTTCTTCCAACAGTTATCGTTCACCTGTACTCTTGACAAATTTTTTAAAGCTTTTCTTCAAGATTTTCTTCATATTCAATGACCGGTGATTATCAAATTTGTGTGTTTTTTTCTACAATTTTTTTTCGCGAGAGAAACGCCTGCTCTTTTCTTCAACATGTATCAGAGTTGCATCATCCCTAACTCCTCCCTCCATAGAGATTCTTCGATTCAGATATGATAATAAGAGAATTTGCAGAAATTAGCCGGGGCTAATGAAGACATTGCCCGTCAGACCGCACCCTACCCGCTGTCCGGCCGACCTAACCGTGAGTGGAGAGGAAACTGTGGCGTGGGAACACACGCTCCACTTCGTGCTTGTGTCATCGCGTGGACCCCGCCAGACACCCAGACTCAACTGTTAATTTATACCGCATAGAACTGTTGAAAGTCCGGGCTTTTGAGGGAATGTAGAGTGTGGCTGTGGGAGGGAGACGGAAACCTGCTGGAGTTAAGGGTGCGGGGCGCGGTGTGGTCACAGGTTCACCCGGGTCGGACCATACAGCTCAACACAATTGTCAACTCAATAAACTGGAAATGTCTTTCAAATTTCTTTTATGATCTTTTAATAGCTGCGTTTTCTACTTCCCGTAGTTGTATACTAGTATATCTTTGAAGTTGACCAAAACATAGAATTACGTTTGGCAATTTCAGTACTAGCGCGCACATGTAATTGTCAACATTAAGAAAAAAACAAGGACAATGTGGCGTTACACTCAAGTTACTAGTACACACTTATTTCATAACGCCACATACAACATAACAAACAACATCGGAGTTGCACATGCATTTTCACGTCACAAAAATTTCACATTGTTATTGTTGCATGGTGGCGAATTAAATGTTTACGACATATAAAAGCGACCCCTTTTTGATACCTCCAGACGCGAATACAATCATACGTTTTCCTGCGGCTTTTGTTTTCCTAGCAACGTAAAACGGTGTTGGTAGTTCTTTTTCTAGTTCTCCGTTTTTTTACATTATTGGCCACACGCCAAACTAGTTATAGGTGTAGATCTGTGTCTGTTGATTTTATCAAGGTACATATGAAAATACTTCATTTAAAAGAGTACAAGTGCGAAGTACGGATGAGAGTTTTTGTTTCATGTTTAGAAAAGTGTATACAGAGAAAAATAATGTAGCCGTTGTGTGCATACTTTGTACAATGTATGTGTATACTTAATGGCTATCATTGACATGCAGTCTCTTTAATTTGTTGTATGTATGATTAAGTGGAAGCGGTGTCTCTATTTATGTATTTAGTAGCGATCCGCTTTAATTTGCCCTGGTTGTTTTTTTTTTCTATTTCCAAATTTATTACAAATGTGCGACATCACACTCCAAGTTTTTTCAACTTATTTTCATGCCGAGTTAAATGAGGAAATTTGTGTTAAGTGCCTTTCCCAAAGGCAAAAGATCGGTGGCATGGCAGGATTCGAACTCGAGACCTCTTGGTTCCGGGCCGAACGCTCTGTCTTTACGCCATACGACCCCACAGGGACCCACACGTCCCTGGTTGTTGATGCCACCGCTTCCACGCGTATAAACCCTGTGTCCCTCCCGACAGTGACCTTTCTTGGCGTGCCTGCAGGGAGAGCGTGGAGACCATGCTGAAGGAACACCGGTACGCGCGCTCACCCATCCGGGCATACGCCGAGGAGGAGCCGCCCAGGAAAAGTCCGCGTCTGTCCAGCTCCTCATCCTCCGGTAAGAACCAACTTAATACCCTCTTACACCCTCAGAACACACTCTAAGACGCACGTCTTACTGCTTTATTAGTGGATTTAGATCGTCTTAGACGGCCTGGCCAGCCTGGCGTCATGCCGGCAGTGGGAGGTGTATAAAGCACAGGTCCATACGGAGAATTAAGAAGGAAATCCTGCCATTTTGAGAGACTTTCAAGGCCTTCACATTCGTAAAAAATTATATCTTGTATCGAATAATGTAATTCCTGTTACAAGAAGGGCACTGTTAGTGATCTCTCATGATGTATGGTTTGCTTACACTTTATCCACTTTATCTTGTTCATCACATAAAAGTGAATGTTTTGATTTGATTTCGCGATGTGAAATGAATTCTACGGCGTCTTGTTTTCCCAGAAGGCGGCCTGACGTCGCCCAGCACGTCCGGCGGAGGATGGCCCTCTCCTTCCTTCACCCCGTTACCTCACTACCCCCACTCCTCTCACCCCATTCCCATCACACCTCATCCCATCAACCCCTCCGTCACGGCTACAACATCCAGCCTGACCTCCCCCCTCCCACACCCGCTGCCCCACACCCTGGGGTTCGGGGCGCTGGGGATACCAGGCTTGCCGCATCCCCCCTCTCCTCTCCCCGCCCCCATCCCCATGCTATCCGCCCCCTCCCCGTTCCACCCCCTCCACATACAGAGGTACCCGTACTTCCCGCAGACGGCCTACTCCTCCGTACACACGCTCAGGCATTATGTATAGTCAAGGTGAGAAACTCTCCAATCTGCCAAAGTTATAATTGCTGACTACATATGCCATGGGGCGGGAATAAAAGCTTATAATCGGTCAACACATGTGGGAACGTGCAAAGTAATGCGAAGGATCTGAGGACAGGTGTGCAAAAGGCATGTACTAAATGCGGGTAGCTACATTTAATACCTCACGCAGGCACAAGCAAAAGGAAAACAGCATGCAGCATGTGTTATTAATTGCATGTCAACCTGTTAAATACTGAACATACGATACTACGTACCATGATTGTTTTAGCACTTCTCACAACAACGCCAAGAAATTAGGCAAACTTATGATGAATGCCTGCATGTGATGAAGGGCATGACCCGTGATTTACAACCACCCATCAATACCAGACGATTTGTTCATTTGTATTTTCTCACGTCACCTAAATTTGCTTGGATTAAACTATTCCAGCTTGCCTTCTAATTAACGTTTGGAAAACCTACAGTCTTTCTATCGATATCAGTGGAAAACTTGCCCAAAGCTGTTTTACAAGCCTAATTGCTGGCAGTGTTTTTACAACAGGGGCTGAGACAGAGTGACAGTTTTGTTGTTGTTAGACATTTGGATGATTGATGCGGGAGTGTCAATTTGTGAAGCGTTTTACGACCCATCGTGTCGCTGGAACAGGCGGTGACACCTATCAAACTTTACAATCAGGGGGCAAAAGTGTAATGAGTTTTACCTTTTAGTCTCTTTTTTATAGCCCTGTCGTAAAATATCATTACGGGCACGGAATCGGCATTATTTGTCTGTGCCTAGATTCTGTTTAGAGATGAAGAATTTGCGTGAGAGAAATCTGACAGCTTAACCGTGAAAACCCTCATTTCAGCGTTGCTCGTTAAGAATGGCCAGACGTAGACAAAAACAACCACTTGAATTTTACAGCTGAAAAAGAAGCGGTTGTGTAAAAGTCCTTGCTTTTGTGCACGAAAAGTTGCAATAAACGTGATGCTAAAGAGATGTGAAGACCGCATACATGCAATTCACCAAGTGCCGCATTTCCGCGCCCTGGTGTCTCTCCTTGGTGCTGAAACAACAATCGGGAGCCACCGTTATGCGCGCGCTGAAGATTCCGGTGCTTAGTGAGCCTCTTTTCTTGCAAGACTTTCCCAAAGAATGCAAAAGAAAGGATTGTACGTCTAAAAGGCTCAAAGTTGACGTTGAAATAGCAGAATTACGGACAAAACAGTGTTCATGTGCACGGACGCTTTATCACTTATCACAAGCAAGAAATATGTAGCAGGCACCCAAAAACGACAGAAAATGAGTGGGACTGTTGGATTATTTCCCGTTTAGTTATCTATGAACATTGTTTGGGATGTTCTTCACTAACCAGATGTCGTATTTTTGTTACAGAAGAGAACGACATCAGGTGGTGCCATTGTGGATAGTCGCGGCACAGGATATTCTCATCTAGGTATGTGGAAGACTCACTGTCTGAGCATCATTCATTCAACGTGATAAAATATGTTTTGCTTAATCTTGGTTATTTCCTAGTTGTGTTTTGAACGAACTTGAGTCCATCCACGAAATTTGAACGAACTTTTGTCTATCCATGAAAAGCATGTATGTCTTGTAGCTTTCCTGTATTCTCAACTCATTGTTGTTTCTTCATTTACTTCGCTGCAGGCACCAGCAAGACACACTGCGTCCTCCACTGTAGTAAAAAAAGATACTGTACAATATCAACTACATATTACCAAGATTATTTATATGTAACGACAGAGAAAGAGCACTGGTGCCAAATAAGTTATTGTTTTGAAATTGTCATGTGGTCAGCAGGGTATCTCATCATTAGTTGATAGTAAAAGTCGGTTATAGTGATGTACATTGTATATAGTATATTGTGATGAGGAAAAATACATTGATGAATCAGGATATGGTCGAGTGGTACTTAAAACTGCACTTTTACCATGAAAAAAATTTACATGCTCTAAACCATACCGAAGAAGGTTTTAGTCGTTTGTTTAGCTATCTGAATCGCATTGACCAGGAATAATCAACAGGATTCGTGTACGGTAAAAATCTTAACGTTGGCTTAGTCTGGAAGCACACAAACACCACTAGATATCGCCTGGTTTGTACGTATGCTTGGTAGATATCTATTGTATGGTCATAGAACGTATTTCTTTTATTCACATGCCTGTAAGATAGTTACGAAAAGTCTGTATCTTCCATATACAAGAAGACGTCGTGCCAGAGACTTGTACAGCTGCTGCATATAGTAATTCCTTACAAAAGAAGATTATCGACCAAATTGTACAGAGATTATAACAATGTTCAATACACAAGTAAGAAGGATATCTTGTATGTGCAATAAATAATCATCAGTGTATTTGCGTCCGTCGATTCAGTCCATCTGTGCCGAGAAGCAGACCTTATATTACATCCGTTCAGTGTAAAGAATCATTTATGTACGTGTTCATACAGCCCTCATTCTCAGAACGAGAAAGGCAAAAGTTCTTTAAGGGTGGGCTTTGCTAGGTTATACACCTTAATGTTAAAGGAAACTGTTTGATACATGATATTTATATGAATCTGACAATACCATACCTAAAATCACCTCACGCTGTATAACAGCTTACACACTGAGCCACAGCATTAGATTAAGTCTTATCGAAAGTTCGACGGCATTATCTTTGTTGTGTGTGTTTCAGCGGGAAACGGGGCTGAAAAAAGCAAACAACACAAGTATTTGGATAGTTGATTTGAAGTGTAAAGTTGCAGTAGGCTAGATTTTGGTTAAGATCTCAGATTGTGCGCACCTGTGGCCGTTCGGGAAACATCCAGCCCATGTTAACAGATGGATCTATCGCCAGCTGCACCTGTTAAAAGTACGTCTATGCTTACGTACTGGGGGATATGAGACGCTAAAATGGGACTAATCAGGTACTTTACCCATATCCTTTCTGACTAACAAGTGTTCGTGTCTCAGAACACAGGAAAACACAGGAGTTGACAACAACGTGATAAAAACTTGTCAACCGCTAATGAAAAGCATCGGTTCCACAGGTAACGTTACGGTTGCCGTAAATTCTGCGGCGGCGAATCTCGCACCAAACGAGTGTTTCCTCTCAGACACTTTCATTACCGTGAGCAGGTGGTTGAAGGAAATCCGAACATTTTAATATGTGTAATTTAGCTGCTACACAAACAGGTGAGTAACCTGTATGGACTGGTAGTCAAGAGATACGTCTATCTCTAGTAAAATTGTTTGATCAAACGAACTATCTCCAAGGAAGCTACTTTATCGGAAGAAGATATACCTTTCAGTTAATGCGTACCAAAGTCTGTATAGTTGTTACTTTTTTTGTCAAGCTAACTCAGCGTGGGGCCACAAACAAATAAACACTCTACATCAACTTCCGTGTGTTAATGCCATCCGGAGGCGTATGAAAGAGCACAGCACATATCAACAGAGCACAACAGACATAAACAAAATGAAGTACATTGTTCAAGGAACAACGCCGCTTAGCAGTCATCAACAGTTAGCAAAATGAACACCAACCCAACCAACGAAAGAAGAAGAAACGAGTTACCCCTAAAAGTACATTCTTGCATATGGTACTACGGAAGCTAACTGGGTTCAAATGCAACAAATGTCCCCTGGGCACTATTTAAGGTTTTCAATGCCGCATGATACTACAAGATCTACATTTCATGTTGTTTTAAGTCAAGATACATAACATATACACAAACATATTCAACGGAAAAATTGAACATGACTGTGTGGTGGCTTACTCTATGCTTCTATGAAATAAACAAACCCTAACACGGATTGTATGACACCAAGAAGGTTTAAATCCTTGATTTCACCGATTTTAACGCATGTTTGTTAAACCGTTGGTATTGTCAAAGACTAACGAAGAGAGGGAACAAACCACAGTTCATTGAAACCTACAGTTGTACCACATTGTGCAGGTTTGTATTTTTTTTATTTGGGGTGTCAGCATGCATAGATGTAGTTGGAAATTCCAACGTGTGTATCATAATCAACTTAAATTTGTAATTAGTTTCCACAAATGTACAGTACTAGTTTCGAAAGTAAGAATGGAAGAATCATGACTGTCGTTAGGACCGTACGAAGGTGTCTGAACTGTGTTTAAAGATTCAGGAGATCGCGGGGAAGTCTTTCGATGATCCAGTAAGAAATAAGTGAGGCATAGACACCAGCAATTCATCTCCCTTAATCTTGTGTATTAGAGAACACCTGTGACAGGTACATGATGTGGCAGATGGGGTCCGCACGGGCGAGGCTTAAGGAAAGCGTGCGGTAAATCGTAAAGTACACAACGATAATACCTGGTCGGAAAGAATGTGCATATATTTGGCGTTATTGCAGCCAGGGAGGGCAATAGGAAATGCAGGTATGCAAAAATGAATATCCAAACGGTTTTCGTATTGTATCGATGAGAATTATGGTTTGCTACCTTTAAGTTTGAAGTTATAGTATATTTTATGCGCATCGGGGTTTCTCAGACAATTTTTCAGTCGGTCCCCCAGAAGGCGCCATGCGTGCGAAGAAGCCCGCTTGACGCGAATAGAGAGAGACGGATCCAGAAAATATCAAACGCGACTCGAAATCCCCCGAGCAAAAAACCACCTGTGATGAATTTATAGGGGCACAACCTTGGAACAATTAAAGGTGCGACTGACGGAACCGTTAACACCTGTCCCGTCAGCGGCACGCAGGTGAGAAATGCGGGGTGACGGCGCTGTGGAAAGGGTCAGGCTCGCACGGCGGGGCTGGGCGAGGTGACAATTGTGCTTACAGCACTCCTACATTTTCACTGTTCCCTTTATAAACATAGTATGGCTTAGCTTAGCACGTACTTGTAGAGGGGCACTAGCCAGCTCTTAGTCAGTAGTTCACTAGTTCTATTCAACATTCTTCCCGTTGAACCAAGATGTGGCCATCCCAGCTAGTTGTCTGATTATCTGCCATACATTGTACCTGCTACAAT